CTGTTAAACCCAACTCTGGAGTTTGGGGCTCCCTCCTTGTAGCACGATATTTTAAATTCTAGGTTTTATTGTTATTTAGCTATGGTGAGGTCAACAAATCAGGACATGGCTGTCATTGAAAAAAAATTGTATCCTCTTTCCCAAGAGAAAGGAACATGTTATACGACAGGGGGCTACCCAGGAAAGCATCAGGGTCATATGGGGGCAGAGGGAGAAGGGGAAATGTGGGCAGGAGACTTTATTGTGGTTTTCACAGGAAGGAATGGGCAAGGTGGGATAGGCAGGCTTAGAATTGGCTAATTTGAATAATTTCAGTAGGCTCTGAGGCATAGGGTCGGTCTCTTGTCCTCTGGTACCTGGCCCTGGAGTGATTAGGGCGGATAAGTAGTGGCACAGTGTGTGGGAACCAAGGGGGGAAAAAAAAGGTGGTTGGAGGTATGGGTTCTGGGTTGGTTGGTGTGCATTTGAAAGATGAACTTCTTTGTGAGATTGGTTAATTCTAGGAGGGGCAGTCCCTCCAGAGTCATCAAATGTCAAAGCATTATAATACAGAAAGGAAAAGATATTGCTAATTTATCTTTTTACTTCTACTCTCAACCCTCTTATGCTAGTAGCCTCCCTCTCAAGGATCGATAAATGTTGGAATGCCCCATGTCTCAGTCCTCAGACACTCTCTTCTTCCTATCTCCCTTTAGGTGAAGTCATGCATCCTCATGGCTTTAAGTAACACTTATATTTTGATGACTCCCAAATTTATATCTCTACCCCCAAACTCTAGACCACCTATTACTCAACTGCCTACTAAACATCTTCACTTGGATGTGTAAGAGACATCTCAAACCAAACATATTTCAAACATATTCCAAACATATTCTAATCTTGATTTTTGCTCCCTAATCTGCTTCTCTCTGTCTTCTCCATTTTAATAAATAGCACCTGCATTTGCCCTAGGTTAGTGACTCAAGCCCTAAACCTAGAAATTTTACTAGATGTTTTTATTTTTGTCAAACCTGTGAGAAATTCCCATCAGGTCTTCTTTGAAAGTATAGATGACAAATGGAAAGACATTGTATGTTGTCCATGGATTGGAAGACAATATTATTTATTAGATGGCTATATTTTCTAATAAACATACAGAAACAGTGTAGTTCCTATCAAAATTTCAGGTGTGTGTGTGTGTGTGTGTGTGTGTGAATAAGCAGATTTTAAAATTCACATGTAAATGCAAGAGAGCCAGAATAGCCCCCACCCCCGCCACACACACACACACACACACACACACACACACACAGACATCTGCAAAATCTTGAAAAAGAGCAAAGTTGGTGGACTCACATTTCCTGATCTCAAAACCTACCACAGAACTACTGTAATCAAGTCTCTGGTACTGATATAAAATAGACATAGCTCAATGGAGTAGACTTGAGAGTCCAGAAATAAACCCATACATCCATAGTTCATTGGATTTCGGTTAGGGTGCCAAGACAATCAATGGAGAAAGAATAATCTTTTAAACAAAATTGTGCAGGGGCAATTGGATGTCCACATGCAAAAGAACGAATCTGGAGCCTTGCCTCATACAAATATTAACTCACAATGCATCAAAGACCTAAATATAAGAAGAAAAGTGATAAAATTCTCAGGAGAAAACATACATGTAAATCTTTTTTTTTTTTTTACCTTGGATTAGGCAGTGGTTTCTTATATATGACACCTAAAGCGCAAGTAATAAAAGACAAAATAGATAAATCAACTTCATCAAAATTAATTGTGCTTTAAATTAAATTAAATTAGAATATTTGTGCTATCAAGAAGCTGAAAGATAATCTGCAGACTGGGAGAAAATATTTGTTAACCATGTATTTGATAAGCAACTTGGCAGTTTCTCAAAAAGTTAAACATAGAGTTGCCATTTAAACAAGCAACTCCTACATATATACAAACCTAAGAGAACTGAAAACATGTCTACACTAAAACTTATATATAAATATTCATAGAATTATTCAGAATAGCCAACAAGTGGAAACAACCCAAATGTCCATCAACTGATGAATGGATAAACAAGATGTGGTGGTATAGTCATACAATGAAATATTATTCAGATATAAAAAGGAATGAAGTACTGATATGTGCTACAACATAAACGAATCTTGAAAATATGCCTGGTGAAAGAAGCTAGACATAAAAAGCCACATATTATATGATTACATTTATATGAAATATCCAGAATAAGCAAATTTGTAGAGACAGAAAGTATGTTAGTGGTTGCCAAGGGCTGGAGGGAAAGAGAAGGGGAATTGGGGAGTTTCTTCTAATGGGTATGGGGTTCCTTTTTGGGATGATGAAAATAATCTAAAATTAGTGGTATAGGTTGCACAATTCTGTGAATATACTAAAAACCACTGAATTGTACCACTGAATCATCTATGTTTTATATATATATATATATACATGTGTATAAATGTATACTAGAAGCCCGATGCATGAAATTCATGCAAGAGTAGGCCTTCCTTCCCGTGGCTGCCAGCACCGGCTTCCCTCCGGTACCTGGGACCCGTGCTTCCCTCACAGCCCCAGCAATTAGCATATTATGCTTTTATTATTATAGATATGCAGACACAAACATACAAGCACACTTACACATATAATTCTCTATTATATGTTAATTATACTTAAATAAAGATGTTGAAAAATTTTTAATAAATTTAAAGGACAAATTAAATATATGTATATATATTAAACTTTCAATAAGAACCACTTCTCACCTCTACTGGCCCCACAACTCTAATCCAAACTATCATCACTTCTGCAAAAATATTCCTCACTGATCACCCCGCCCAGTCTCCTGCCCAACAATAGTCTATTATCTACACCAAGCATATCAAACTCAGAGCCCACAGGCCACATGCAGCCCACAAGGAATATTTTTGCAGCCCAGCCAATATAATGGTATGTAAGAAATGTTTTAATAAAAATTTCATAACTTAATTTTTACAATATTCTGTTATACATAATTATTGATAATGAACTACAACGTTCACTAATGACAGATTACAATAGTCATGTTGCATTCATTTCCCTTACGCGTCCGCGCACCATTTCTCTCCACTAATACTAGCAGTGAATATTTTAGCAGCCAATTGCCACGTCATTAGTCTTTTTAAAAATATATATATATTTTATTGATTTTTTACAGAGAGGAAGGGAGAGGGACAGAGAGTTAGAAACATGAATGAGAGAGAAACATTGATCAGCTGCCTCCTCCTACACACCCCCTACCAGGGATGTGCCTGCAACCAAGGTACATGCCCTTGACCGGAATCGAACCCGGGACCCTTCAGTCCCCAGGCCGACACTCTATCCACTGAGCCAAACCGGTCAGGGTGCCATGTCATTAGTCTTGGACAGAATGTTTGGTGTGCGCAACAGGAAATATTTTGTTTTCAGAGAACAAGAAAAATAGGTTTATTTATGTTACGCTTATTAATTTGTGCAGTTATTCAGTGTCTGGTTAGTTAATGTTCAAGAAAAAAATATTAATTTTTATTAAAATGTTCTATTATTTTATGTTAACAATTACTCATTTATTTCAGCCCTTTGTAGTCAGCATGTCTCTATCAAAATAAACCTATTTCTATGAAAATTGAAGCTTTGTTTTTTTGTGACCCATATAAACTTAAACCTTGTTTATTTGGCCCTTGTTAGCCGTTGAGTTTGACGTGCTTGATCTACACCAAAGCTGAGTCCTCCTTTAAAAGTGTAAATGAGATCATGTCATTCTAATCCAAATCCTCCACTGGCCTTCTGCATTGTACTCAGAGCAGCTCTGCTTCTAACCTGATTTACATGTATGGCTCTAACTTATTTCCCCTGAAGAAATGGTTCCATGGCTAATACAATGTTGACAGCCTCTTGGAGGCCAAACTAGCTGACAGTCATGTATCCTGTCCCTTTTTGCCTTCAACCATGAAAAGTCCTTGGATGGGGAAAAAACCTTGAGCAAAGGTAGAAGTGTAACAGGTGAAACAGGACAAAGGTTGGAACACAACATAGCCAGTTCTCTGCTTTCCCTGTCTAAACCTCTTAATGAGAGATCACCCAAGTGATGGGAAAACTCATTCACAGCACTCAAAAGAGCTTGACTACTTTACCTGCTCAGTCAGCTGTCAAATATTTATTGAGAATCTAGTTCTGTGCTCCTGAGCACTAAACGGAGTGCCTGACACCCAGAGTTCTGGCCCAGCTGGATTATTTATTTGACAAGCAAGATTTGGTTTTCAAGGGCCTACTCCTGAAACTATGGAAGGCTCTATGGGAGAGACAAAGAGATAACCACCAGTGTGGGTAAGTCAGAGGATTGCTTCATATTCAGAAAAGTCTGTTAGAAAAGGAGGAAGAGCTTCTAATTTGGATTGATAAAGAGGCCCTCGCTTCCTCTTACCCTATCTTCCCTCTCTGAGGCCCATAACTTCCCTTCCCAGCTTCACTCTGCCATGGCCCACTTAAAGATTTGTTTATGAGCCCTAACTGGTTTGGCTCAGTGGATAGAGCATTGGCCTGCGGACTCAATGGTCCCAGGTTCAATTCCGGTCAAGGGCATGTACCTTGGTTGTGGGCACATCCCCAGTAGGGGGTGTGCAGGAGGCAGCTGATCGATGTTTCTCTCTCATCGATGTTTCTAACTCTCTATCCCTCTCCCTTCCTCTCTAAAAAATCAATAAAATGTATTTTAAAAAAAAAGATTTGTTTATGAGTCCTGGCCGATGTGGCTCAGTTGGTTGAACATCATCCAGTGCACCCAGGGATTGTTGGTTTGATTCCTGGTCAGGGCATGTGCTAGGTTGCAGCTCAATCCCCTGTGGTGGGGGCCTTGCAGGAGGCAGCCAGTCCATGTTTTCCTCTCACATTGATCTTTCTCTTTTCCTCCTCTCTCCCTAAAATCAATAAAAATATTTTTAAAAAACCACACATTTGTTTACAAGTCATTTCCTTGTTTTCAGGAGTGAACAAATCATCAAGTCATGAGACCAGCAAAACTACAGAAAGCAAAGCATCAGAAGGGCCTGAGACTTTCAATTGTCTGTTTCAGATCCGGTAGAGAACATGTTCCTCCTCCTGCTAATTTTGAGCCTGGGAGTACAGCTTCATCAGACAAGAGGTAAGACGGACAAAGGGAGGGGCCTGAGAAAGAGGAGCAGGTGATGGCCCCTAGCTGAAGCCAACCGTGACAATGTGGTCCTCAGGCGAAAGGCTTTCTTTGAGGGGAAGAGTGATTACTGGCTGTTACAAGCACAGCAAAAGAATGGTGGCTTGTGCATGCCCATGTTCCTGTCTGACAAAAACAGGGACTGAGAATATTGGTTCATCTAGTCCCACTCTCCAATGAAGGTGGTGACAAGAAGATAGAACCTCTCAGACCATGCACCTCGGAACTGATACAAGAGGGCATTGTTTGTTTGTCCTGAAAGGTGAGGTGTCAGGCAGCTGTCCTCTTCTCTTCTGACAGGTAGAGTGAGGAATCAAAGGTCAGGGGGACACCTAAAGAACTCTGTTACTCTAAAGCAGTGGTTCTCAACCTTCCTAATGCCGCGACCCTTTAATACAGTTCCTCATGTTGTGGTGACCCCCAACCATAAAATTATTTTCGTTGCTACTTCATAACTGTAATTTTGCTACTGTAAACAATATGTAATTATATATGTGTTTTCCGATGGTCTTAGGCGACCCCTGTGAAAAGGTCGTTCGACCCCCAAAAGGGTCGCGACCCACAGTTTGAGAACTGCTGCTCTAAAGAGTCTCTTGCAGACATTCCGCTGATTATTGAATATTTATTTCAGTTCCTCTTTTAAAAAGCAACAGTAGCAGTCATTGTTCATTCAAACGCTAATTGTGGATTACTTGAATTGGAAAATCAGAGTTTTCCTAATGTTTAAATGAATAATGAACTTTAATGTGATGCCTTTGGATATTGAAGAAAGGAGTTCTACCAGCAGGTGTGGGTGCTCACAGGTTTTTTCCCATCCAAGGACTTTTCATGGTTGAAGGCAAAAAGCAGTTTCAGAGTTTGTGGCTCTCCTAGGAAAGTCAAGACCCTTCGTGTGTGCAGTGAGGATCATGAGTGTGTTATTTTGGGTGAACACCAGGAGGTAAGAGAGGGAGACAGAAGTGGGTGCAGGGAATTAGGCCCTCAATGATAGCAGCCCCCATGCTTGGGAAGTCCCCCAACATTCTGCCTTTGATTGAGAAAGAAGGGCTTCTTTGGCACTGATAACCTTTTGAAGAGCTTTCCCCTACCTTCCAGGTGATCCCAAGCTGCTCTTTACCCAGTCACATTCCTCCTCCTCCCTTGGGCTGGACAGCCTGGTTTGTTAGGGGCCATCCTTGGAGAACACCCCAATATGCTGCTTACTCCAGCCCTGCCCTATAGTGCCAGCTAAAGAAACATTTCCTGTTTCCTTTCTAAGGCACCCTCCGATTTTAGAGACGTGTAAAAGGCAAAGATGCCTCCTTGCTACCATAGAACTTTAAATTTCCAACCTATATAATAAAAGCCTAATATGCTAAGTGTCCGGTTGTCTGTTCAACCAATCAAAGTGTAATATGCTAATGATATGCTAAGGCCACTCAACCACTCATATGACGTGCACTGACCACCAGGGAGCAGACGCTCTGACTGGTAGGTTAGCTTGCTGCTGGGGTCTGGCTGACCAGGACTGAGCGAGATGGGCTGAACATGCCCTGGAGTCCTCCCGTGGTCCCTCCTCAGCTGGCCAACCTCCCACATCCCTCCCCAACCCCTATCATGCACTGGTGGGGTCCCTCAGCCTGGCCCTGCACCCTTTGCAATTCAGGACACCTCGGAGGATGTTGGAGAGCCAGTTTTGGCCCGATCCTGCAGGCCAGGCCGAGGGACCCCACTGGTGCATGAATTTATGCACCGGGCCTCTGGTAAAGTGATAAGAAAACCAAAGGCCAAAAGAAGGTTCTGAAGCTGCTGTTCCCCATCCCCTGACAGGACTGGGCACTCCAGGAGAAACCTTGGGAATTGTGCAATGTCTGAAGGTTTGCAGCTTAGAAACATTGAGACCTTTTTTGTGTGTGTTTTTGTTTTGTTATTGTTTTAAATTTTCTCTTAAGAAAAGAGTGAGCTAGGATTACAAGTGGTATCATTTTGTATCCCTTACTGAATCTTTCTCCCACGGTAGTACCTTTCTTTCTAAGATAAGTAGCATAAGGAAATGAAAGTAGGTTCTAACTATTAGGGATACTAATAGGCCATAGGGAAGAGAATGTATTTTTACTGAGGACATTAACAATAACCATTTGGTAGATGAGGAAACTGGGACTCAGAAAAATTATTTAACTTACCGAACATTACGTAGTAATTAGGTGGCGTGGGCAAGCTTCCTACAAAGCTACTGTTCTTTCTACCTTACTGAGCTACAATGATGGTGAGCAAGTATGACAGACAATCCTTAACCCACCCACTCTGGATTGGGTTTTTGGAATTAAGTTTGATTATGGGCACATATTAAACATTTACTCTGGACAGTCACAAAACCAAAAAAATATGTATGTTGAATTATGTTTATGAATTAACCAAGAGGAAGCTATACACATATTGTATCTTGCTTTTTGTATAAACTTGGAATTCTTCTCTGCTTTCCACTATATCTTTATGCAAATAATTTTAGTTCAATCAAACATTAAATATCTGCCTAAATTAGAATGCTTACTCCTCAGGTTTTTGTTTTAAGTTTTGACATTTCATGTCTCCCTTAATTAAAGAATTTCTCATAGAGGCTACCTGAGAAAGAAACGGAACACACACACACACACACACACACACACACACACACACACACAGGACTGATGAGATTACTTCTGGCGAGCAGATGAGGTCTGGGATGAGGGTGAAAAGGGAAATTTTATTTAGTATGTTTACCAGGTTGCTGTTATTGTTTGCATTTACTTGTATTATAAAATAAATTTACAAGAGGATTAGTTGTATAATTAAAATATAATTATTAAAATATAAGAATCCTTTAAAAGCACGTGAGAGCAGCCAGTCCATGGCATTCAATGCCCAGAGAGCCCTGGCTATCAGGGAGGTCCGACAGATGACCTCACTGCCCTCATTATCCTGTGCATTCCTAGACTTGCACTCTCATTGAAATGGAAAAAAATGAACTGGATCAATATAATTTTGTGTTACCCTGTTTAAATTTCTACTTTGAAACTTTAAAAATAATACTTATAACAGTATTGTTAGTCATTAAAAAGACACCTAATGCCCATCAACAGGAGAATGCATAAATTACGGTATATTAGCAGAATGGAGTATTATGTGCCATACAGGTAAATTAATTACAAAAACATGCAACTACATCTAAGAATTTTAGTAGCATAATGTTGAGGAAAAACAAAGAAAACAGAAGATGACATCATCACAGTGTCCTTTTTACAAACAAAATATTGCTTAGGCATACATATATATAAGATAAAACTAAAAAAAATAAGCAAGAGAATGATAAACACAATATTTAAAAAGGTGATTACCTTTGGTGGAGGCAGTAGATATATGTTATTAGTAATATTCTAGTTCTTGGGTTTTAGTAAGCACTGGTAAGTATATATTTATTTTACTGAATTCAATATCTTAAATTATTTTTGCATTTAAACCTTTATACCATACATACAGAAAAGAATAAAAAACGAATGTAAACACTGATGCGACCACCCAGGTTAGAAATAGAACCTTGCTAGCTTCCCAGAACTCTTCACCTGCTCCACCTCAACATGACCTCCTCCCAGAACACTCCCTGGAGTACCATCCTATTTGTCCTTTTTATTTCTCCATAAAATAAGTTACTAAAAATCATTCAAAGAAATTTTAGTAAGCAATTGGCAAACATGCTCCTTATAGTTTTCATATCAGCAAATATAGACATCCCTCATTTTTAAGGGGCTCTATATATTTTATTGGACATGCTGTTATTTATTTAAATAGTCCACTATTGATGGACATTACAGTTATTTTCCTTCTTTTTTCTGGATTAATGCTTAAAGAAATGTGTATCTCCTAAAGATTGTGATGAAAATTGATTCTCAATATAATTCAAGTAAACCACTAATCATGAACTCTTTTCTTACTTGTAAGCTCTGAGGATGTTCTACTGTATTACCTATAAGAGAGTTTAAAGTTTGAAATAAAAATTAGTGGAAAACATTTTCATTGTATTTTTAAAATATTTATTTTTAAATTGATATACGGTAAAATTTACTTTTTTATAAAAACATCTATGAGTTTTGACAAATGAATAGTCAAAATCACCACCACAGTCAAGATTTAGAACAGTTCTGTCACTCTTGTCAAACAAACAAACAAAAATCCCCCCTAACACTTTTTAAAAAATATATTTTTATTGATTTCAGAGAGGAAGGGAGAGAAAGACATATAGTTGATGAGAGAATAATTGACCTGCGCCTCCTGCACGCCCCTACTGGGGATCAAGCCCTCAACCCAGGCATGTGCCCTGACCAGGAATCAAACCTTGATCTCCTGGTTCATAGGTTGACGTTCAACCACTGAGCCACACTGGCCGGGCCTCCCCCAACTCTTAAGACCAGACACTCACTCTGCTCTGTCCTATAGTTTTAACTTTTCCAGAATGTCATATAAATGGGACCATTCATTAAACACTTTTTTTGTTGAGCTTCCTTCACTTAGCATAATGCATTTGAGATTCATCCATATTGTTGTATGTATCAATAGTTCATTCCTTTTTGTTGTTGAGTATCTTTAACTGTATGTATGTACCACATTTTGTTTATTCATTCCTCAGTTGAGGGACTTTTGGGTTTCCTATTTTTGGCAACATAAGTAAAGTTGCTATAAACATTTGTATATAAGTGTTTATGGGAACATAGGTTTTCGTTTCACTTGGTAAATAAATATCTGGGAGTGGGATTGCTGGGTCATATGCTAAATATATATTTACTTTTTAAGAAACCATTAAACATTTCCATAGCGTCTATACCATTTTTGCATTCCCAACAGCAAAGTATGAGAGTTCCAATTGTTCCACATCCTTGTCAACACTTGGTATTGACATTGTCATTTTCTTTTCTTAAGTCAGTCTAAAAGGTGTGTGGAAATATCTCATTTGGTTTTAATTTGCATTTCCCTAATATCTAGTGATGATAAGCATATTTTCACATGCCTATGGCCATTCATATATCTTGTTTGGTGAAGTGTGTATTCAAATTATTTGAACAATTTTAATTGGATTGTTTAGTTTCTTATTGTTAAGGGTTTTTTGTTTTGTTTAAATATGTTTTCATTGATTTCAGAGAGGAAAGGGGAGAGAGAGAGAGAAAGAGAGAGATAGAAACATCAATGATGGGAGAATTCTTGATCAGCTGCCTCCTGCATGCCCCCCACTGGGAATCAAGCCTGAAACCCAGGCATGCACCCTGATCAGGAATTGAACCGTGTCATCATAGTTCATGGTTGATGCCCAACCACTGAGCCAATCGGCTGGGCTTCTAGTTTCTTATAGTTTTATTTCAAAACCTAGCAATATCTTGTAATACATTTAAGAAAGATATTTACTTTTGTCTTTTGTCATGACTTGGAGGAAAAAGTAACCTAAATTTTACTCTTTTCATTGATGTTTCTTTCTTCATCTTCCAAAGATAGATAAAACGAGAGGAGGGGGGGGGGGCACATGACCATGGTGATGCTTGATGTCACTCTGGGGCAAGGCCTACACCCTGGGTCACTCCACTTATTCTATCTTCATTCTCCAAAACTACTTCTGTTGACCCCTGAGGCATACAACACAGAAGAATCAGGTTGGGGGATGGATTTCTAAGCTGTCTCCATGCAGAGTTCCTATACAGAGGAGTGCATGAGTCAGCTGCCCAGAGCAGGCTTCTATCTTGAACCAGAAACTAGAGTTTTCTAAAAACTGTGGCTTTTCTAAAGCAGCCCCCCAACTTATAAGCACATCAGGTAGGAAGTAGGAACAAGTCTATGGTTCTGTTGTCAAAGAGAAAAAAAAAGTATAAAATTAGCTTAAAGAGGAAGCTATCTTGGGAGGCAATGCAAATGATTTATTTTGTGTTTACTGGAGATGTGACAGGTGCTGGCTCCCATTGATTCCTGATTGCAAATAAAATGTTAAGTTACCTCAAGAACTTTCAAAAGGACGCCAGCACTATAAGTGCACCCTAATTGTATGCATGTTGAACTGGATTATATAGGTTTTTATCTTTTGTTAAAATGTAGATTCAGTGGATCAATATATTATTAAAGTATGTGTATATTATATAAAATTTTTCAAAGGCTCCAGCATTAGTCAAGGCAACTGCTTAATTTGCCTAAAGAACCTGCACGTGTGAATTTTTCATGCCCCGGCCAAGTCCTTTACCCTTTAACTTAGTCAAGGGCCCCAAATAATGGCGAAAACCTGTTTAGTCTGCTTAATTTTGTAGTCATGGAAATTTTCCAATTTTCTCCTTTGTCTGATAACTTCAGGAGTGCAATGCTAGGCTGAAGCTTAATTTAATAGCCACAAGGCATATAAAATAGAAAACAAATGTATTTTCCTTAGTACAAAGATGAAAAAATGTCTGTCTCACTCATGTTGTAGTATATACATGCCAGTGGATATATAGTCATATCTGTAAAATTGTTAGGGGTATAGGTTTTCAAGTCACAGAAACATAAATTTGAATTCCAACTCCATGACCTTGGGCTAGTGTATCACTTCTTTAAGCCTCAGTTTCCCCAACTGTAAAATGGGGGTAGTAACTCCCACCTTGCAGGATTTAGGGAACATCAAATGAGATGATGATGTAAAGGTAGCCCAGTGTCTGGCTCATTTTGTTTAATAAATATTAACTATTACTCTACTTCCCATTAAAAGTCTCAATGCAGACCAGAGTTTTAACTCAGCTTCTCAAATGTTAATGTGCACACCATCAATCAATCACACTATTAATACTAAGATGCAGGTTCTGCTCCTGTAGGTCTGGGGCAGGCCCTGACGTTCTGCATTCTTAACTAGCTCCCAGGTGAAACTGAGGACAACACTTTAAATGGCAGGATGATAAAAGATGTTTGCAAGTGTTTTATTTGTCTAACCAGTGGTTCTCAATGTTCTTTGAATATTAGGGAAATAAAAAAAAATTGATGCTAGCCTCACAAAAGAATTAGAATTTAATTTTAAAGGATTCTAAGTGGGGCCAGAGCATTAGTATGCTTTAAAAGCATTCCCAAATAACCATTAATTTCCTAGTTATTCTGAGGTACTCATATACATGATTCATGTTTGCTAATTGCTCTTTTCTCTTGCGAACATTAGCTGAAAAACATCACCTGTCTGAGAGGTAGCATGCTTTATGCCTACAGCCCTGGTACACACACACCCCTGTACGAGGCAGAGTGGGGAAGCAAGCAGAAAGTGTATTTTTGTCAAAGGCCCAGACGGTCAAGAGGGGAGTTCTGCTGTGTGCTATGGGGAGTTCCAGAGGAAGTTACAGGCGTTCCTCTCATGAAAAGAAAGCATAGTGTGATAAATACATTTGTTAAATAAGTCGCACCCAGAGTCCTCTAATTCTTGTTATATCTCAGACTCAGCAACTAATCTTCCTCGCAAGCCCCATTTCTCTTCCCTGTTTCCTATTTTTTCATGTGTAATAAAATAAAAGAAGAACGTGCTATGAGGAAAGTTCTAGTGTAAATTCCTGAACCTGGCTCATTGAAGGTGGTTAATGCATTTTAATAAATGAGTTAGCAGAGGCTTAACACATAGTAAGAACTCAACACGTGATAGTTGTAATTATTATCACTGGTGAAAGGTAAGTCACGTTGTTTCAGGGAATGTTGTAATTTGATTCACATGGAAAAAGATGAGCCTGGATAATAGGTGGTAGGAGGGCCATCAGGTGTACAGGTGGGGAGTGTTGAGAGGAAGGAACTACCTCAGAAAAGTGTGTAGAGAATTCCACTCTTGCCCAGACTGGATGGGTAAGGGACAGAAATGAGCCCAAGAAATGCCCAGAAATGATGAATATTCCCTAGAAAAGCGGGGTGGCCTGAGTCTCTTTGGCTTCCACTCTGCACAGAACTGAAATGTCAATGCAGACAATGGGAGAACATCTTGTTTTCTGTGTAGCTTTATTCAGAGTGGTGATCCCTAAGGAACTGTACACAGCGGAACACGGCAGCAATGTGACCCTGGAGTGTGATTTTTACTCTGACGATGACCTGGATGTTGAATATCTACAAGCCAGTTTGCAAAAGTTGGGAAACAATATGTCCTCGAACAGCACCACTTTGCTGAAGGAGCAGCTGCCCCTGGGGAAGGCCTTATTCCACTTCCCCCGAGTCCAGCTGAGCGATGCGGGGAAGTACCGCTGCGTGATCATCTATAGGAGCTCCTGGGACTACAAGTACCTGACTCTAAAAGTCAAAGGTGAGTAGTTTCGGGGCCTGGAATCTGTGGAAACATCTCTCCAACAAAGACCTAAAGTGAGCTCGAGCTAAAGCTGGGAGGATGGTTCTAAGGAGACAGAGCTATCTCAAAGAAAGGAAAAGTACCAGTTCAGAAATAACTTTTTACATATGAGTACAAGGCTACTGAGGTAAGGGAAATAGGAGCAGGAGTTGCAGGAATAAATGGGGCTAGAGGAAACCAGGACATGAGTCCTTGAAAGGTGAGGAGGAGCCAAAGGTTGGCTGTGCCTAATTCACAGTTTGTTTGAGGACCAACATTACTTGATTATTAAGCTACTCTTTGAGAACAGCTTATTCCCCCCAGTCCAGAGTTATTTAAACCATGGTTTGCCATCCATTTATGAATTAAAACATCAGTTTAGTGAGTAGTAATCAGGTAGATGTTTTCCCCCCAATAAAATGAGTGAACAAAATGAACAGAATAAAATACATCAGAGGTTGTATATTGTGTCTGTTGCCTCACTCTGGGTCAGTCTAAAAGGTTTGAAGGGTACTACTCTAGTCCAAGCCTCATTAATTGCTGATGAAGCAGAAATTCACAGAAGTGAAGTGGGTGGCCTGAGGGAGCCCAGGGTAACGCCATTGGCTGGAGCATTGACCAGATGCATCATAGATGCACCAAGGTTGCAGGTTGGTCCCCGAGTAGGGGCACATGCAGAAAACAACCAGTGAATGCATGAGTGGGTAGAAGAACAGATTGATGTTTCTCTCTCTCTCTCTCTCTCTCTCTCTCTCTCTTTTACTTTGCCTCTTTCTCTCTTTCTAAAATTAATTTTAAAAATAAAATAAAATGAAAGTTTAAAAAAAAATAGCTGTCCCCATTCCTCTGTGTTCAGGGCTCTTTCCACCACAGCAGGACTCAAGAACCTAAATCTGGAGAGATCTTCACAGAGGAAGGGAGAGAGAGAGAGAAGTATCAATGATGAGAGAGAACCATTGACCACCTGCCTCCTGCACGCCCCCCACTGGGGACCAAGCCCACAACCCAAGCATGTGCCCTTGATCAGAATTGAACCTGGGACCCTTCACTCGCAGGCCAATGCTCTATCCACCAAACCAAACCAGCTAGGGCCTGCCTTCTATCTTTATTGCATTTTCTACATCCAGACTTAAACTGGGAGGAACTTCTAGAACACTGAAGTTAGTCTGAGTTCAATTAACAGGAAGAGAGAAGACTGTACATTTCATGATCCCTAATGGCCCCCACGTTTGTTGATCTCTATTTGAATGCTGTAAAGCATCTAGGATTTGGGGGCAATTGAGGGCCAAACATCCCACTTTTTCTCTGTGGCTGAGGGCTACTTTTTATTCTTGGGAAGGCACTCTGCTTGCTTCCTCATGTAGACCAGGGATGGCTCAGGTGTGGAGCAGATTTATTTCTTAAATATTAATTAATTACTTAAACAACTAATTAATTTCTTAACTTGTTAAAAGTCTCCAAACTAGGGCATATGGGGATCACAAAGACTTTATCTAAGGAGTGCATAGGCACAGGCAGTTTTAGGAAATGAGTTTCTCAATTTTCATCTTCCCCAAGTACTCTTTCCCCAAACTGAGTGTGCCTGAGAATGTGCCTTCCAGGCAAGGCTCTTGGGGTTCCCCTAGAACACTTCCTCTTTTAGTATTGCTTTCTTCCACTTCAGAAAAGCCCACCTGTCACCCATCATGAATACAGTGCATTGCCCCACAGTGTAAAAACCTCCATAACCCGGTAAGTGGCCTTGTTCTCCACTTTTTTCTTTTGATTCTGCTGATACCGTCCCGCTCTCATCAGCCTCCAACCCGCTCTCTCCTTGAGCCCGAGCACCATGCCTGCAATTAAATTGCAGAGTTCTGATGGAGAGATATTTGAAGCTGATGTTGAAATTGCCAAACAATCTGTGACTATCAAGACCATGTTAGAAGATTTGGGAATGGATGCTGAAGGCGATGATGACCCAGTTCCTCTACCAAATGTTAATGCAGCAATATTAAAAAAGGTCTTTCATTAGTGCACCCACCACAAGGATGACCCTCCTCCTCCTGAGGACGATGAGAACAAAGAAAAGCGAACAGATGATATCCCTGTTTGGGACCAAGAATTGCTCAAAGTTGACCAAGGAACACTATTTAAACTTATTCTGGCTGCAAACTATTTAGACATCAAAGGTTTGCTTGATGTTACATACAAGACTGTTGCCAAAATGATCAAGGGGAAAACCCCTGAAGAGCTTCGCAAGACCTTCAATCTCAAAAATGACTTTACTGAAGAAGAGGAAGCCCAGGTACGCAAAGAGAACCAGTGGTGTGAAGAGAGTGAAAAGTTGTGCCTGACACTGTAAGGATTGTTCCAAATACTAGTTGCCCTGCTCTATTTATAATTGTTAATATTAGGCAAACAGAAGACAAATGCAGCAGCAAATCAATTGTATTAGCAGAATTTTGTCCTCATTGCATGTGTAGTTTGGGTACAGATTCCAAACCTATGGCTGAGTTTTTTCCAGTATGATCAAAAGCAGGGGTCCTCAAACTACGGCCCGTGGGCCACATGCAAATACAAATATTGTATTTGTTCCCGTTTTGTTTTTTTACTTCAAAATAAGATATGTGCAGTGTACATAGGAATTTGTTCATAGTTTTTTTTAAACTACAGTCCGGCCCTCAATGGTCTGAGGGACAGTGAACTGGCCCCCTGTTTAAAAAGTTTGAGGACCCCCGATCAAAAGTATCTTTTTTCTTTGCTCTGAATAAAACTGAATTGTGGGTTCTCTATAAAAAACAACAACAACAGCAACAACAAAAACCTCCATAACCCTAAACAAGAGAGTAATTAGAAATATTAATAACTTACCAAACTATAGTGACTAACAAATCTATTGCAGATAAGGAGATATCGAGTTCTCTGTTTTCAACAAAATTGAAGGAGGCCCTAATAGATGAGCACCTGATAATAAAAGATGAAGTAATTGTTGCCATATAAACATAAGGCTTTCAAAGAATGAAAGCCTTACTTCCATCCCCACCAACTTATTTTTATGGGCAAGATTCCTTAGTCCTTATAGCTATAAAAAAAATGACAGATAGAAATAGAATTGATGTTGAATCTTGTCTCATTTCAACCATAAATCAAATGGATCCTCTGATTCATGAACAAATCAGGAAAAAAGCCCCATTCATCCCATAAGAGATACATTTCCAATAAAAATTTATGTTTAATAACTATCAATATTCATATTTTTATGTTTTGGTTTCACATGTGCTAATAATAATGGAAATTAGATTTCAATGCAGAAGAAAGCTTTGAATACTTGAAGCCTTACGGTCACAAGAAAAAATATTTAATTTTAATAGCCACACGTCACGTTCGGTTGCAAAGAAACATGGAATAATCAATAAAAGACCTTTAAATACGATGCATTAGGATAAAATCCTATAGAAAAGTGGAATGGAAATGAAGGTTCAAAGAATAAAAAGAAACAAAGTAAAGCTCTGACCATTAGAGAAAAAATTTTGTATGCACTTTTCAACAGATGGCAGTGTCTATAAAAAACTTTCTTCCATATCTAGATGACATTAGGTACATATGTAAGAGAGAGATAATTGTTTTATTAAAAATATAAATGTTTCCAAACTGCTAAATGTCATATATTTTTCCAACCTAGAAACACTAAAAACTTTAAGAATCAACTTAATATGTGAGAGGGTGCACGCTGCATCACAATTCTTTTCGGAGAAATGCAAGGGAAAAAAAAAAGTTGACCATCATCACCTAAGAGTATTTTATCCTGATCAGGGATCTCTGAAGGAAGCAGAGGAGAACTGGAGCCCTAGTTAGGGTTTGCTTACATGAAATAGGACTAAAGGAAGGATGAGCTTTTTCCTTAAAATGTCTGACCTATGGTATAAACATTGAAAATATTTTTTTGCACCTTCTTTAATGTCTGGGCAACAGTTCATATTAAATATATGAAAAAAGAACTGATTAACAGATTTCAAAAGCAAAGGGGGGGAAATAGAAGGTAAGATGGCTGAAGAGTCCAGAAGAAACAGTAACAGGAGGCTGCAGCTTCTGAAAAGCCAGGTTGCAACTGCAAAAACAGTGAAAAATCTGTCCAAGGGAGAGCAGGGAGCATGGAAGTGGCCCTGAGAGGCTGGGACAGCCCAGGAATTGAGCTCACAGGTTGAGAACCGGCCTATGCAAAGAATCCCCAACAGACACAGAGCAAGTACTAAGAAGAGAAGGACCACACCAACCTGAAGGCCTGGACAAAGCATGACGATGAGGATGGGAGACAGCCAACACCTGGGATGAGCTGAGACTTGCAGAAGTACCTCAAATCAACAAAAAGGCCCCAGAGAGACAGTGCAACTTCAGCAAGTGGAGGATGGAGGAGGCATGGCTTCCATTCTTAATTACTAGAGAAATGGTCTTCACCCTAAGAAGGGAAGACAAAGGGCATAGGGAGGAAACAGCCCAAGAGGAGCGATGTGGTAGTGAAAAGATGGCTATGCTTTCAGCCTCTAGGCCCAGAGAAAGCACTTGCTAAAAGAACTTACTGATGGGGGCTCTGATCTTGGTGTCTTTTCTCCATTGGGGAAACAGAAGGGAATAAGGAGTTAAGGAACAATGAATTTTGAAGGGGAGAAAAGCTCCTGGGAATTATAAACTGTTAAACCTGAGGTTCCTCTCCAGACAAATGAGAGCAATCCTAAAAAATTTTTGTCAGTGATTATTAGAAATCTGTTGGAATTGTTTGAGGCTAGGACATGGAAACCTACTTTTTTATTTTAACCTTAGTTACAGTCATTATGATGATAAAACAAACAATACTATGTACAGCTTATCTTTATTTCAGCAATGCTAGAGTTGCCAGTAATTTATAAATCATATAGTCAAAGAAAACAGAAACCACTTAAACCAGTGGAGATTTAAATCAGGAAATCTTTTGATGGAATAGACTGAGAAGCCTACCTAGGAAGCTGCTACCACCAGTGGGCTGGAGGGAAAACAGGAAGGCATAGGGCCCAGAGTCACATGATAGACACTAGAATCCAGTGAGCCTGTCCAATGGTAGCGGGAGCCAGGGAAGAAATGTAGCTGTTGCTGGAGAGACAAGTATAACACAGAGCATGGGGGAGGAATACCTTAACATTTTCCCCTCTCTCACCCTTCAAGCTTCCCATCATGTTCCTATTGGCTGTCAAGAATCCGGAATACACAGCCTGCAGGAATCAGTCTTCCTGCAGTAAAAAGCAGAGGAGAAAAATTGAGGGATGGATCTGAGGACAAACAGGCCCAGGACCCACACAACACACACCTTGTGCATAAAGTAGTAAAATGTGGGTTGAATAGTAGTAGTTACCTGTATCTATAACAGACAGAACAACTAGTAGTTGTTGAGTCAGGGCCAGCAAAGGGTGATTGATGGTCTTGGGTCAACCTGGAGAGACTCTCCAAGTGCCAAGGGGTCTGTTACAGCCAACCAGGCTAGGCAGTAGTTCATTTATTTAACAAAATTGATCTTATGACCCTAGCCTGTTGGGCCTAAAGTGTGCTCAGCGCATAGGAGGTAATTAGTCACACTAGACTTTGTACTGCTTACATAATATCTGGAATATAGCTCACGTTACATTGGAAAAAAGAAAGTGAATCCAAAAACTGGTATCTAGCACTGGGTTTGATAACTATGTCCTGTGAGAAATGGTTGATAGAAAGAAATCTGTTTATCTACAAATGAAATGACTAAATGGATTTTCATTAGTTATTTTCAAATACTGGAAAAGTTGTCTTCTCGTATGGAAGAGCTAATAATTACTAACACTAATTGAGTATTTATTATGTTTTAGTCACATAACTCATTTAATCATTCTAACTCCTATTAAGGATAAGTATTATTGTACCAGTTTTATAAATGAAAAACCTGAAGGCTCAACAGGTCATGTAACTAGCCCTTGGCTCAAGCCCAGTCAAACCTTTCAGATTCTGAAGCCTATGTTCCAACTACTGTGATTACCATGTGTTCTACTACACCAGACAAGAACCAATGGTTGAAGTCACCATGAGGCAAAATTTGACTTGGCATAAGGATGCTTTTTTCAATGAAAGTTTAACTTTTTATTGTCTAAAGATGGCAATAACTACTTCTATAAGTAAGAGCTTCCATTCATAGATTTACTTAATGAAAAGTTAGGTATCTTGCAAGTTACTAATATTAGAAAATAAATATTATTAAAAATAAAAAGGGACATTTCATAATGATAAAAAAGCCAACTCAACAGGAAGACATGTGTGTACATCAAACACATAGCTTCAAAATATATAAAACAAAAATTGGCAGGTGTAAAAGGAGACATAAACAAATCCACAATTATATTTGGAGACTTTGAGTCATCTCTATCATAACTGATGGAACAACAACAACAAAAAAAAAATAGAAGAGTTGAACAACATAGCCATCTTGACCTAACTAACATACATGAAACTTATACCCAACAACTGTAGAATATATTCCCAAGTGCATGCATCAAGGTATTTATCTTCCAAAATTACTAAAGATATTTCTAGAGCAGGAAGTTGGACTAATTGTATTTTAAGACCACTCCCACCTCTGAAATTCTAAAAGTTACTCATCTTTTCCTAAGAATAATATCCTCAATCCAGCTTCCTCATTGTGTGTTGCTGATAGTGATGCCATTTCAGCCACTTCCCAAATACAAGAGGCTGTGGCAACATCTTGAAGTTTTATAAATGTAGACGTGTTCTCCTGTCCCTTCCCCAAACTTTGCTGATTCTTTTAGTTGAGCATCTCTCTCCCATCTCCACATATATAGAGAGATAGAGAGATAGATGATAGATAGATAGATAGATAGATAGATGATAGATAGATAGATAGATAGATAGATAGATAGATAGATAGATATCCAGGTACAAGCCTTAGCCCAGCTCCTGATTCCTCACCCTCCTAGCTCTGAAATCACCTATCAACTTGGCCATGAAGATCAGCTTCTTATCCCAAGCTACCCTGTGGGAGCAGGCCAGACCTTCACCCACAACACACTACTCCTATAAATTCACTTATGCTCCTCCATCCCCCCAAATGCCCCAGAGCTTCAGAAATAACCTACAACATGACTATAAGAGGAATTGTACCAAGGAGGGAAAAGTGTAGATAAGTAACAAAATGAGTATTCAGAATGCATGACTGATTATTAGTATTTGGCTCCAAGACTGGTTAGTCTAACTGGTTCAAGTCCTTCAGTAGGCTGGTTCAGAACCTGATTCTCCTTGTATACTAGTTCTGGGTACTCCCAAGTCCCCCTGGAAAACACCCTTCCTCTATATTGCTCCATCCCTAGACATTTTCAGTTGCATAGAGAATCATCCTCTGATGATGATTCCAATACAAAATTGAGAATACAGTAGCTGTGAAGGGCATGAGTTCAAGTCCTCCCCCATCCATCCCTGATTCCAGCTGTTTCCTTATTTACAAAATAAGAATATGAATTTTACCTACCTCACAAGGTCCTTGTGTAGTTTAAATGACATAATGTATATTAAGGGGAAGGAGTCAGGAATTAGAGCCACTCTCCCCTGCTCCTCTCCATGTTCTAAACTAAGTGAGCAATATACACAAGAATTAATACCAAATGGGAAATGACCTCCATTTTTAAACTAATAAGTGGATAAGAACATGATTTTCCCCTCCCCCTATTCTGGGGCTTCTCTGGTAATTTACACAGGAGAACATGACTTAGACTAGAGTCCTTGTGTTTCTTGTTCCTTCAGCTTAACCTAAGACTCCAGGTTTGCAGATCAGACTCTAAGGTCACTCATCACACAAAGCATTCAACCTCTCTAGCTTCAGTTACCTCCAACAAAAATTGGGAATATCAACAACACCATTTTTTGTTGTCTTGTAATACTTAAATAACTCAATGTGTATAAAATAGCATATCTGGGACAAAGAAAATATTTTTAAAAAATAAAGGCATTATTACTTAATATTGATAATGATTACCTTTTTTATTTCATATGGTATTGGGTACAGAGCTCCACGGGAATCAGAAAAGAAAGACTTATTTTTTTTCTTCTTCTGTCGCCCAGCTTCCTACAAGAAAATAAACACTCGCATCCTTCAAGTTCCAGGGACAGATGAGGTAGAGCTCACCTGCCAGGCTGAAGGGTACCCCCTGGCAGAAGTCTCCTGGCCGAATATCAGTTTTTCTGCCAACACTAGCCACATGGAGACCGCTGACGGCCTCTACCGGGTCACGAGTATCCTGCGCCTAAAGCTGCTCCCTGGCAGAAACTTCACCTGTGAGTTCTGGAACGCTGATGTGAAGGAACTTACTTCTGCCATCATTGACCCTCAAGGTAAGAGCAGCTTCCCTTCCTAACTATCAGTCACGTTTCACTTGGAAGGAGTAATTTGAGGAGAGTGTAATAAAGGGACTACTTATGAAGTTATGATCAGGATTTAAAGAAACTACTGAGGATAGTGAAGGACCCTGGGACTTCAACAGTAGGGGAGCCGTGACCACATTGGAGAGGTGACTGAAACCTGGCGAAGGGAGCTGTAGGGAAAGCGCCATGTGGCAGAGCTGTGCCCTCCGGTAAGAGGACGCTGCCACTCGCAGCAACTGCCAAAGGGTGCAAGTGGTGAATAAATATCCCACCCTCATGCTCCTCCCACCCTCTGACCTCCTTCTGGTGCCTCCCATTATGCTAGATCCAACTGGCAGTCAGAGAACAAGGGAGTCCACTGATCCGGTCCATAAAGATCAACCTCTCAGAGCTCAGAACAGAGTGTTGAAGTGTAGATAATGGGTCCGAAGAGGAAACAGAAAATATCCAGCACAAAAGCTAATCACTCAGCAGGATGAATATCACTTTCCTGGCTTTGCTGCCAGATAAATGGTTTGGGGGTTTTGCAGGAAAACTGGCCTCTCACAAAAAATCTTGCAGAGCTCTCACTGGCTATGCTGAATCCCATTCTTTTAGAACTTCATACACTAGCAAAATGTCAAATGCTTGCCAAAGTCTGACCATTTTTTTATGTGCCAAGTAAGGACATTTATTTGCCACATAAGAGCAACTAACATCTAGTGTCACAATCATTTCATAAGAGACAAGTCATTTATCACCAAGTGTGCAAGTCTCCTGGTGGTCCTATAGCAAATTACCACAAACTTTGTGGGCTTAGGACAATACAAATTTATTATTTTACACTTCTGGGAGTCAGAAGTCTGAAAAGGGCTTCACTAAGCTCAAATCAAATCAAGGAAGAATGCATTTTCTTGTGGGTTTTTTTTTTTTTACCAGCTTTTAATGGCCATCTGCATTCCTTGGCTCATGGACCCTTCCTCCACTTTCAAAGCCAGCAGCTGCATTACTCAGACCTCTGCTTCTGTCATCACATCTTTTTCTTTAACTCTCTTGCCTCACTTTTCTACCTTTTAGGGACCCTTGTGACTACTGGGACTCAATAATTCAGGATACTTGACCCATTTCAAGTTCCTTAATATAATCACATCTATAAAACCACTTGCAATGTAGGATAACATATTCACAGGTTTCAGGGATTAGAACATGGACATCTTTGAGGGGAGCCATTATTCTACTAGCATACAAATGAAGAATATCATCTCAGAATAAAGGACATTCCCTAGTACTGGTTAATTTGACTATAGAAAATTAACTGTGTTGTCATTATATGTCACTTCTTGTCCTTTGTCTTACAAAACTGAGCCTATGATAAGGGCTATTGGGCATGCAATTATTTAGGTGTTGATCCCAGGGAGTAGAAATGAGAGGTTTAGGAGGAAAGAAGGAAAAGCAAAATAAGGATGCATTATCGAAGTTGATGTGGGCAAGAGGAGCTCAAATATGCAAGGACTCCCTGAGCAGCATACAGATGGCCTCCTAAGGTGTTTACTTATAGGACTTCAGGTGGAAGGACTAATGCATCTGCTTTCTCCTCCAGTGGTTGACAGTTGTCATCAGGAGTATGAACTCCCTTCCACTGTGAGCTGTGCATGTGTATGGTCTGAGTGAGCTCCCCCAGCATCTGTAGCATCAGAGTCATCCCAGGACAGAAGGCAAATATCCACTTGACAGAATCACTGACCATGAAGTGAATCAAAGCCCAACCAGGATTCTACCCAATCTGTGGCTGAACTCAGGCATCAAGTTGAGAGGAAGTGAGGCAGGGCTACAAGTCTAATCTTCGTACTGTTCAAGCCTACTCATGCCCTGCATTGAGTCCACTGTCTCTGAGCCTTCAGGCAGGGAACCTGTAAAAGATATGATATGGAAAAATTGGTGGAACAAACTACTGTTCCTGTTCCTGCAATTGATCCCAATTGATATTTATCATCTATCTCATCCACCATACATTCTAGATTTCCCTCACTCAGCACTTCACATGCAATAGTTTGTTTGCCTGGGGGACTCAGACTTCGAACCCTTAGTTGCCTTACCCTTAGCTGACTCAGGTTGCTACAATTGCCTTTTCTTTGTTATTAATGGGCATGGAAGTTACCAGAATCAGAATCGGTGGATCCCTGAGTTCTAGACATAGTTTTCCTTGCCTCCATTATGTAATTGCTTTCAAGTTCTTCATGGTAATTAAGATAAATTACTCCACCAATATAATAATTCTTTTCTTCCCTGCTGGTCCAATTTCCAAGCTCCCAACTGCCCCCCAATTCCCTACCTACCTACACGTCTCTATGCAATTCCAACACTAATGTTAGCAGTGAAGTGAGGTAAAGAGAGGAGTCATGCTAAGGATATTGATAGAAATAAAGACATTAGAAACATCATTTTTAGGGTCAACTTTGAATGAAAATAGTTAACTAGGCAAGCTGGCTTTTCAATAATCTTTATTTCTGTTTTTATCACAGTTAAGACCACCAGACTTGTCACCTTATGAAAATCGAGCTATAACTAATTCATACTACCGCTTTAGAGGCTTAAATACTAACAATCCCAGGGGACTTTATTTTTCCTTGACTGTCCTTTATGTTTACTCGACTATCCTTTGAAATGTGGGATTTTCTGTTTGGTTAAGTGTTGGGTGGAATGTGGTTTTCTAGAACACTTATATAAGGATCTCCACAGAGAAATACAGGCCTGGCTAAGATGAATTTGTAAACAACTAGAATCTGCCTTTTGCATCAGTTTTTTTTCTTCGGGTTAGAGAAGTATAAGGGCAGACTGATCATTTCTCCGGAAGCCTTGAGGCTGTGAGAAGTTAAGAATAAAGTAAGGCGGCCCCTCTCTCTCTGGGGAGCCAACACACCTGACTGAATAGTCAACAGTTGTGGGAGAGACCTGTGGGGCCTGCATCAAAGCCTGGGATATCACTCATGAATGCAACCAACAGGGAGATGGAGAAATCTTTGCAATTAGAAATTCTCAACCTAGCTTTACTCATCCTCCCCAGCTTTAAAGTCATCCTGCTATCCCCTGGCATGATCCTCTGCTCCAGTCAGCTCCCCTTCCTCACCATGTACTCTCTGAACTTGCTTGACCCTCTCCCACCACCAGGACCTCTTTGCTCAGGCATTTTATTCCACATAAAAATCATTATTCACCAGCTCCAAGCCCACTCTCTCTCTAGGGCAGCTCAGGTAACTCCAGGATACAAGCAGTCTCCCCTCATCTTGCCTCCTGAGACCAATTGTGCCACTTCTTTGTTTGCCTGTGACTGTACTTATCTTTTCTCTTCCATTACTATTTTATTTTCCATGTATTTTAACTATTCACATGAGTCTTCTTTATACCCAGATAAAGCAAAAACAGAGTACTCTGTTCATAGTAAGTGCTCAATCAAGGTCAGACTAATGGGTTAAAGGCTTAGTCTTAGATGATCTCAGACCCATCATCCCAGCCTCCAGACTGTGTGGACAGTCAGATCAGAGCAGTCAAATGATACCCTGGCTTGTGGTACAAATACCTAACCACAGTCACACATCCTCCCACGGGTTCCTAGCTTCTATTTCTCAAAGGCATTTTAAGTTGTCTTATGACTATCCCCTTTCTACTCATTCTCATAAGTTCAGCTGCTTAGTGCTGATTTCTGTGACCCACCACAGGTTTTTCCAGAAGTCGATGAATCAAAGACAGCAATGAAATTCTGGGGGTGGGTGGTGCTCCCATGACTCTAGAATGGGTGACCGAGCATCCTAACTTTCCATCAGAAATTAAGGAGCAGTAAGACGATTTTCCTTTCAAAACAAAGTTTAATCTGCTCAGTCGGTTGTTGCATTTTCATTAGGAGGTATATAGTGAGACTGGAGCCCAGATTCTTATAGGGCTGGCAGAGAAGCCCTTCTAGGAGGCCTGGCAGTGACTCTGGCAGTAGTCAAGCATGCGGGCTCTGAAGTCAGATGGGCTTGAGTTTCAAATCCTCTATGCTACCTATGGCTTTGAGAACTTGAGCCACCCTAGAAGTGTCCCTTGTCCTCCTTTGTTGAATGAGGATAAATAATGGTAGCCACCTTACAAGGCTATTGGGACTGTTCAATGAAATATAATAGTAAAGTCCCTAGCACTCGGAAAAGATGGAAACAGGAAAAAGAATGGCATCTTTAGCAAGAGGCATGGCTTCCTTGTGAGTGGATAGGCCTGTGAGTAAGGATAAAACAAATTGCTGTCCCATACGGCATCACATCATTGTTAAGTAGCATGTAAATATTAGAAAACAGTTTAGAATAATATATATAGACTAAGAGACCTGAAAATATAGTGACTCAAACAAGACAAAAGTATATTTCTCCCTCATGTAATATTCAGAATTAGAAGGTGGTTCAGAGCAGGTAAGTAGCTATATTCCATAGTCATTCTGTGGTCCAGGTTCTTTCCATCTTTTTCTGCCATTCTCCAGGGTGTTATTCCTGTTGAATTGTCAAGGCTGGGTCACTGCCATATCCATGTTTTAGCCTTCAGAAAGGAAAAAGAGGCATAGTTAGTGTTTTAAAGCCAAAACTGAGAAGACCCATTCTCTTGGCTTGAAGTTAACTTACATGTCTGACCACACCTATTTATAGGGGAGGCTTAGAAATGTAGTCTCTGAGAAACCATGTGTCCAGCTAACACCTAGCTAACACTAGGGAAGAAAAGCAGAATGCATTTAAGGAACAAGGGGCAGTCTGCCACAAGGTAACTGCTGACAAGGAAGATTGGGGTAGGTGGACTAAGTAGATGGTCAATTCAACCCAACAAATCCTTACTGACACCATTCATGTAGCAGTGCTTGGCTTTATAGGGGATTCAGAGGTGACTTAGATAAAGTCTTTGCACTTCAAATACTTACAATCTAAGCAGACTGATGTTCCATTGGATATTCAACTTTAGAAAGTCTTCGGGGATGAGTAAGCTTTTGTATGTGGAAAGAACTATAAGGGAACTGGACAGGACAAGTGTCTGCATAAAGGCCCTGAGGTAGGCACTTTTCCTGTTGTGGGAACAGTGAGGGTCCCAGGACTCCCTGACTCATGGTACAACATGCGGCAAGTGCTTAAATAGCACTTCCTAGGGGTGAAGGAGACGACTGTAATCAATGTGGGTTATCTATTGAGGTTTGGTAACTAGACTTACTGTGGTGATAATTTCACAGTATATACAAATATTGAATCATTATGTTGTACACCTCAAACAAATGTAATGTTGTATGTCCATTATACCTCAATAAAAATATTTTTTTGAAGGCTGGGTTATCCAATGTATGGATGAGCCAGTCTTTCTACTCCTTTTCCTCCTTAGTGTTCACCACACTCTTTTAGATAGAGAAAAGTATCTATTGGGCCAGAGCTTTGGATCAGAGAGATATGGGTTTGCAATTTCAGCTTTGCCACTTGCTTAGCAGTGATGACCTTAGAATCAGTGGTTCTCAACCTTCTGGCCCTTTAAATACATTTCTTCATGTTGTGACCCAACCATAAAATTATTTTCGTTGCTACTTCATAACTGTAATGTTGCTGCTGTTATGAATCGTAATGTAAATATCTGATATGCAGGATGGTCTTAGGCGACCCCTGTTAAAGGGTCGTTTGACCGCCAAAGGGGTCGTGACCCACAGATTGAGAACTGCTGCCTTAGATAGATTATTTCTCATCTTTGAGCTTACTTTGTCAATTCTCAAATAAGGGGCTCAGATTAAATGATGTCTATGCCCTTCTCAGCTAAAACTGCCTATGGTTCTCAGAAGGCACTGTGTTGGGGGAGGGGAGGCAGTGGGCAGGACTGAACCTTTCCCCCTGAGCAGTGTTTCCAGGTTTTTCTGTTTATTCCGTGTAAGTGACTCCATGAGCACCATGACAGAGGAGCAAACTTCAGGTTTATGGAAAAGGCACAGCTTACCTTGGGTCCCCTTCCGTTTCCCTGCAGTGAACCCCACTCCAGCCCTGTCTTTGGTCAGCCTGGGCCCCCATTCTAACCTTTAGATATTCATAGCTCCCCTTTATAAGGTTTTCCTCAGGCTCCCAAATTACTTTCTCATCCACTTCTCTACTAAACTCATCTTTTCCACAGTGCCAGGACCTTCGTTAGCTATGACAAGGAAAGGGGCTAATTATTATAATTTTCAATGACTAGATTTTGTATATGAATACTACCTGTAAGATTTTATTTCTTCCACAGGATCCTATAATTCTTTGAAATTTAATAAGTAATGAATATAGATTCTGAGCACCATGACAGAGGAGCAGGGAGACAGTTTTGGACTGAGAGACTACCCTACTGGAAAGATAAAGAGAGATGATGATGATGATAGGTAAATAGGTAGATAGGTAGATAGATACATAGATACAGAGATACAAAGATAGAATATGATACATGTGTCAGAATGATGCAAAGCATGGAATCTGGAACAAGACAGCCTAGATTATATCTCGATCTGACGCTTACTGTATAACTCTGGGAAAGCTTCCTAGGCCTCACTTTTTTTTACCAGCAAAATGGGGTCATAGTTGAGCCTGCCTCCTAGGATGGTTATGAGGAGTGAATGAGCTGGTTCACACAGGGCTCATAGAAAGTACCTAGCATGAGTTAGATACTCAGTGCAAGTTGGCCATGTTGGTTATAACCCACTCAGAAGGCCAACTTGTTGATTTACATCTGAGCTACCATGTAATTGTGGTGCTTTTCTTTCACCCAGGTGAGATGGAACCCGAGGTCCCTTCAACTTGGCTGCTTCATATTATCATCCCTTCCTTCGTCATTGCTTTAATATTCATAGTTACAATGATAATCCTGAAAAAACAACTCTGCCAAAAGCTTTCTTCAAGAAAAGGTAGGTGAGTTTTATTCACAGTAACCATGTGGACTGGGTGTCTGCAGTGAAGGGCTCTGCTTTCACCACTGGCTTCCTGCTTCCCGGTTTCATACAAAATCCACTCAATGGTTATTAATTGCTTTGGGTTTGTCCTGATGATTTTTCCCCCAGAAGAAAATGGCTCTAGTCTTCAGTGAGCTAAAACTCTTACACTGAATATTTTAAAAGGAATATTTTGTTTCTGTGGCTGAAATCATTTGCTTTATTCTTTGAGCCGAGAAGTGCCATCGGCCTCATGAGATTGGTGTTATTTTGGCAATGTTGGACAGCTATGTGGTCAGCATTCACTGGTGGGAAGATGCCAGGATCCTTTCTGACAACTCCTTCAGCTCTCAGCTCTCCTTGCCTCATTCTGGATATGAGCTGGGCTAAGCCCTCCCCTTACCCCCAGGAATCTGAATCTCCTGGTTGGGTAAGAAAAGGAGAAAAGTGTGTGAGGTAATTTGGGGGTGGGGAAGCACCTGTTTGGTGGTACCCTGAGGTCTTTCAGCAGATCCCCACTCTTACTGTGCCAGCCGGGACACAGCATGCCTGCAGCCTTGGAGCGCTGGCCTGAATATCTGCAGTCCCATCTGGTGCTTCCCTAAACTATCCCTTTGTCAGCACCCAACCAGCTCCTCCCAAGATTGATACATAGCCTTGTCTATAGAAAAAGAAATGGCATCTGGAAGTAACTCAATAGAATTTGGGGTGATCACTATTTGAGGATTGGGCGATGTTTAGGTGGCTGTTTTCCCACATTTACAATCTAACTTCTATATTCTCATCTGTCATGAAATATTATCATACTCTATTTTTGCCCATTGCCCTCTATATGCATTAGCTTGGGTAATATCCACAAACCCCTCTAAGGTAGATTTAAAGGAACCATTGTCAAAAGAAGGGAGGGGGGAGAAAGGAAAAGGGAAGGAGGAAGAAGAGAGAAATGACAAAAGTGGAGGGGAAGGACGCTCCACCATAAAGAGGGAATCACAAGTTCTTGTTGGACAAAACTTTGACTAAACAGAATTACTTCTGCAAATCTGTGACCTCAGAGTCATGGCAGATGCAGTGCAGTTTATTAGAATATTATCTTTATACCATATTTCCAGGCCTGGGGCCTGAGAACCCTTTAGTCACCTCAGAAATGAGCAGTAGAGCCTTCTGTCCTTATTCCCTTTTGGAGAATAAAGTGGGGTTATACTCAAAGGTAGAGCAGGAGAAAAATCCTCCCTTCATCCCTCATCTCAATCTCTAGAGTGAGTGAGGACATCAGTAGCTCCTGGGTGCAAGGCTCAAGCACCAACTGCAGTGGAGAGCTGGTTACTAATAAGGGCTGAATGAATAAATTTGCAAGTGATTCCTTTGTTTGTTTGTTTGTTTTTAATGAAGCAGAGTGAAATCATGGTTGCCTGTATAATAACCTCCCTCTCTAACTCTCGTGCATTGGAATCTGCTTTCTTACATAGGAGATACATGGATACAAATGTGGAAACGTGGTGGCCATGCGCAAAAACTCATGTGTCACGAAAAAAGGTTGAGAACCGCTGGTTCTGTGGATAGAGCTTTAAACCAAAGTCAGAAGGTTAGATGTGGAGCTGGTGCTATCATTTATTGGTTCTATGGTCTTGCACGAATCACCTAACTCCTTTGAGATTATTTTTCTATCTGTAAAATGGGAAGCGACCTGGGAATGAACATTTTGCAGTTGATTAATCCAATCTCACTGCCACTACCAAGGTTCAACCTGGACTAGGGCAGAACCCTCCTCACTCAACTCCCTGCATCCACTCCTGCTGTCTCCAATATGATTGACTTTCACTTTTAGCTAGCATGGGCTTTTAATTTCTCAAATCTATCATGTCTCCTCTGTTCAGATCTCTTCCATGACTTCCCATTGCTCACACACCCACTGGGAGGTGTGACTCATGTATTCAGTTTTATACGGCACCACTATCACCTTTGTTACCCATGCTTTAGCCATAAAGGATTTTCTAGTCTTCAGAGACATCCCCCTCTTTCAAATCTGAGTTTCTCATATAGTATTTGCGCTTCTTAAATTACTTTTTCCTTGTCCATCTGAGTTGGTGGCATCCATTAAGTCTCCACTAAGCTGTCACTTCATCAAGCCTCCCCTGAATCTACCCCCTCACCACACCCATTACATTAAATTCCCTTGTCAGGTGCTTGCCTAGCACCTACTTCTCCCTTCAGTATACTCAGCACACAAGTACATAGGACCTATTTTAATAGCTTGAGCTAAAACCGCAATTGCATCTCTTTTCATTTTCTAATTAATTCCTCAAGCCACCAGCCTTCCCATCTTAGCAAAAAGTCCAGTGTCTCCTTCTTACAGTATGTACTTCCCCAACTCCCACAAACTGCCAGGAGGCTTACTTAGCCCACAGGGCCAGTGCTGCTTCTGAGAAAGCTACTGGGGAACTAGGTCAGTTCATCAGAGAGCCCTGGTTTTAAGCTGCTGCGGTTTCTACTACTGCCATGCAACATCCCTGTTCCCTCCAAGTTTCTCCATCCACTATGCAAAGGTACCCTTGCTGGTTCAGATCCCCACACAGACCAGAGCGATGCAAGATGACAACTCTCCTGGCTCCCCTCACATGTTCTGGCCTCGCTCCCAAAGCAGGACCCTCAGGGGCTGATACGGGAGGAGGGCCTTCCTGCCTCAGCCACAGCTGTGCGCAGCCAGCCTCTTCTGCTCTCAAACCTTCATGTGGAGCCTGGGACACCAGTCCTGACTTCCTTCTCTGGAGTCATTTCTGTTCTGAACTCCTCAGTCTATTGGAGAGGGTCAATTTTAGTCCCTTTCTATCCAGAAAGCTCCTTGGCTCCTCAACACATTTACCCGCTTATGCCTCAGACCAGCTCTGCACACCGAGGTTTTTGGGGAGGGCAGCCGTTGCCAGTCCATAAAAGGTTCATTTACCATCCCCCACTAAGAGGGACCATTCAACAGATCAGGGCTCCAGGGTGATACTGACATTATTGTAAAAAATAAGGTCAAGTTCTGTTTCATCTGTTAGTCTTTAAGTTTCATAAGTACAGGGGCTATGTTTCTCTTATTCACCAATATATGTCCAGTGTCTAAAACATTACCTGGCAAATACAGTTCTTCAAGAAAACTTTAAACATTGAACATACTACATGCAGGTACATAGGCTAAACTTCTTTGTAAAATATACTAGTCACATGTGGTTTTTAAATTTAATTGAAATAAAAATTCAATTCCTCAGTCACATTTTTAGTGCCTAAATATTGCAAGTGCTTAGTAGCCACGTGGGTCTGTATGGGACAGAGCAGATATTACTAATTTCCATCTTTGCAGAAAGTTCTATTGGACAGCATTGTGCTAGACCCTTTGCAGTTAATTTCACAAAAACTGCTTGAGGCAAGGAATCGCGTCTACTTTGTAAATGAAGAAACTGAAGCTCAGAAAATATTTCTGAAGTTATATAGCTGGGCTTGAACACAGGTCTGACTCCAAAACTTGTGGCCCTTTGTTGCAAAAGTGCTTAATAAAAATTGGCTCAATCTGAATACACTTTACATTATAATTATCTTTGGGCAATGGAAAGAAAAGATCTCAACCCAAAGTACTTGAGCAACTTGTTCATTGACCTGCTGGGCCAATGGCAAAGCCAAGAAAAGAATCCAGCAAGAATTGTGAGCTATAGAGACCAGATTTCCAAAAAAGGTCTCTAGATTTCTATTTCTCAAACTCTTTATGCTAAAGAACCATTTTGGTTTTTTTCAAATTTCTAATATGTTAGAATTGGTACTTTTATAATATGGGAAAATTACTAATAATGAAATGGAAAAAAACAAAAACATAAAGCAATAAGCTCAATTTTTACTAGAGTTAATAAGTATAAAATGACATTTGAATAAATATGTTCAAAAACATAACCTAGTAAAATAATTACTATAAAATTTTCTAAATGTTTACCCTGTACTTCTGTACTTATCTCATTGTGAACAAATAAACAGTTCACCTCCCAGCACCAGCTTGTAGACCACACTTTTGGTGGCACTGTCCTAAAGGATTGACCAAGGTCTTTCTAGGGATTTAAACCAAAGGCCAAATATGCAGGTTTATGATGTATAAGAACAACAGAGAATGGGCGCACTTACTTCAGGCACTAGAGAGAGGCCTCCCCTGAAACTCCAACATTCCAGGGCAATCCCTCTGAGTTAATCATTGGGCTCCTTTCAAGTACAAATGCTCTTGGAGGAGACTGCATTGCTGAATTAGAGGCCCAAGATGGTCATGAGAGAGTTACTAAAAATCTGGTATGCAGAGCAAAAACAGAATTAGAGGCAGACTGAATTTAGATACCCAGGAAACTGCAGGAGATGGGCATCAAGCCCTGGAAGAAAATAAAAGTGGAAAGGAACATGTGAAATCAGGGATTGAGAAAAATGAAACCAGGGAAACAGTGGGGAGCAGCATCCCATTATGAGAAATTTTGGCTTCCACCCTGAGTTACTTTGAACCAGTATCAGTCATTTACACCTTAGTGCAAATTAATTGATCAGACCTTCTGCTCTGTGTAGGGCAGAGGGAAGGAAGTGGCAGTAAATACTAAAGCAGAAGAGGGAGAGAAAATTCTGGAGCCAGACATTTCCTGGACTGAATCCCAAAGTAGCAATCCCTTGGCCTCTGAGTGCCTGGGGTCAGGGTCAGACAAAGGAATGGCAATGGGGGCCTTCTTTGTTCACAATCTTGCCAGTGGGTATGGTTTTACATTACTCATTATTAAGGCTGAGTTCTCAAGCCACTGAGACATTTAGACTTCTATATGTGAATTTATTTGGATTTACTCTTTTTATCTATAATAATAAAAGCCTAATATGCTAATTAGACTGGATGTCCTTCCAGACATCCTTCCAGACAAAGCCAGGACTGTGAGTGAAGCCTGGGACCCGAGTGGCAGAGGGAAGCTGGTGCTGGCAGCAAGCGGGGGG